TTTAAAAACAAAAAAGTAGTTTTTTAATATTTGCACTTTTAGCCAAATAATTTATATTTTGAAACGGAGTGAATATAGATTGATGATTCGTATTATCTTTAAGATAAATCAAATTTGTTCTTTCATACTTAATTATTGAAATCAGCAAACGATTACGTGAATGGTTTTCGTGTTAAGGGTTTTGTACGGGACATGTAAATCATGTGTGTTTCGAGGATTACGCTTTTTTCCCAATGTAGAATTTTGTCATTATCCAAACACATTTGCTGAAAAAGAAAAAATAAATAAATTTGGAAGTCCTCTTCCATCTTCTTTGTCCCAATAATCTCTAGAATTTACGGTAAATACGTTTCTAATTGTAGCTACGATCTACATACTGATATATTATCATCTTATCCGAGTAAAACAATCATCTTATCCTGTCTAAGAATCGTAATTATCTTCAACTTAAATTTGACATAGATTCTTTTAACAGAAAGAGAGAAATCATGAATTAGATGTATAACAAATAGCAATGAATAATTGGAATATAAATGTGAAATAGGATTGTAATTTGTAGTTCCGGCAAAAGGTCATTGTAAATGACTAATGAGGTTCTCAAGTTGTGTGTCGTTCTCTGATCAAACGCCAACCGTTGTGGCCCGAATGTGGACCTTGTCCAATATGGAAATGTTCGAGATGAAGTTTTGGGTCTACCGGATGATTAATAATTGTGGGGTTTATTCGTTCAAAAATGTTGTTTTCGATGAATTTTGGTGAGCACAAATATGTAGCTTGACCGTTGGGAAAGTCGATTTTTCGTTTTTGGCTGCTGAAAAATATTCTTATAATGACAACATAGTCAAGATAGTCTTGAAAAAGCGAAACGAAAATTACTTTTTTAAAATATGTTTTGACACTCGAATAAAAGTAAAGTGTTTGGTTGGAGAGCCGAGATAACAGAGAGAAAAATCATTTATTTTTAGACCTAATTAAGAAGAGACACGTCGATCCATTAATCTGGCCGAGAAAGAGAGGCTCAATTCCTCGAG